TCTTACAAAAAATAAGTGAACAAAAACCACTCTTAGCCATGTCAGAGCACATGCTAATTACTGAAGTGTTGAGCAAGGATTAAGGCCATTTACCTCATAATTATTATTAAGAAAATATTTCCAAGCTTCTCGGTGATTCCTGAGTATATCTTTTATGTTTCTTTTTCCGGGTAAACGTAATGACTGATTCAGTGTTGTGTTTCTCTTTAAACTCTGGGGTTTGATTAACCTTGTCTATTAGCTGCAGTAAAAAGTAATGAGAATTTTTGTGTTTAGCCAAACCTGTACTTAATTATTTGCAATCTTCTTTTAAGTGAAAATCTCCACAGTTTTGTCCTCCCTGTATTAGTTTCGATTTGCGCGGTATGTCAAAACTGACTACGTCAAAGTACACCTCGCCTGTGGCCTTGAATTCCACAAAAACCTAAGAGTTTCAAACACTGATCAGAAACAACATAAAAAATAGTCCACATCTAACTTCAATATGGCCTATCAGCACATTTCGTAAGATGAGATGATTGTTGATGAATTTAGTTTTCTAGCTAAGTAAATCTATGATGTTAACCTATGTGCCATTCGCAGGGAATGATCATTAAATACAGTTGTTTATTTAGTCTCTAAGAGGCATGAACCATCGCAAACGAATCTAATTTGTATCATTACTAACTAGCCTGAACCTACGGTTTGCTACACTTTGTTCTATTTTAAAATCGGACGCGGACATAAGCTGAGGATTAAGATTCATCTCCACAAATAGTTTGTCACTTCACTGAGCTAGTACAAACAGCCACTATCTCTTATATTGAAATTGGGCAATAATAATAAATTGAACTACATTTAACTCTAGATTAAAAAAGTTTTAAACGTTTGATCACTATGCGCCGTATAGGTGTTTATGTGTCCAATGGGGACCATTCCAATGTCAAACAAAATCGTGTTTGTCGATAACTGAGTCACGAACCGAATTTGTTTCCTAAGTAGTCCTTTATCGTGTCTTTGGATTAAATTGAAAATCAAAAATAATCTAGAATTGACCCGATATTATTTTGTCACGAATACATGAAATCCTGTCTGTGATTTTCCTGAAAACCCGGTGAGTATGACAGAAAATCTGATTGCCTGTTATATAACGGTGCTGTACAAGCAGCGATTGTTGGAACATCAGACCAATCACGTCAGCCTATACGCGTTCTGCTCGACCATTTTCTCCTTACTGAAGTCTGCATGCGTTTGCAACATGGAACATGTATACATTGCGTACACTTTACTTTTGATGATTTTGACAAATTGCACGTCCTCATTCGCTGGACTAAACAGGCCATAACTTTGTTTATGCACTTCTATGTTTTCTGCAAAAGTTTTCTTAAAGAATACTATTGGGAGAACAAAAGCCCAATGTATTTCATACGCTTTCCGTTTGTCAAAATAACTTTCTGTCGCAAATTTGACCTCATGCACCGGCTTTATCTTGTTCCAGTTTAGAATAAAAAGAGGGTACTGACAAGCTGCGCAAATCAGTCAGACACATTTGGCAGGTTGATATACCAAAAAATCCAAACTTTTGTTTATCTTGAACTGTGCGTTCCCCGCGTCCCGAAATCTCGGCCTACTTCACGTTGGTTCTAATTTATTTTCACTGTAATTCCAACAGAAAGGCACATTGGTTATTAACCACTCACTGGAAGGATTCCAGTGCCGGAACCTTCGTAATAAATTTTAGGCACGTGAATGGATCTTAGTTCGGTGGAATTTCAGAAGCGATCGTTTCCGAGATAAAGTAGTGGGCAATAAACAAGAAGCGAAGATACTGAATGCTTTCTTGGGCAACGGCCCAGAGACACTTTATTTCTTCATTTTGTACTGACATTTTACCACTATCAAAAATAAACATGAAGAATTGCGTTCTTTCTACGCGTGAAAATACTTGATTCTCTCTTCTACTTAGAGCTATGCTGATAAGAATTGGTAAACTCCCAGTCCATTGAAAAGGCGCTTTCAAATCTTTGTTAGGTATTTCACAAACATCACTTTTTGTTCAGCGTAATAAAATTATTTTTAATGTTATTTACATAATTAGGACGTGAGTCAGGTAAAATCAAGCCTTTATGGTTTCATTAGCCGAAATTTGAGTGAACTTGAAAAAATGAATTTTACTGAAAACATTGGGGAATACTCTTTCGGAAAATGATGTTTGAAATAAGTTAGACTGTATGAAGGAGAACAGTCAAGCTCAGTGCCGTTTTCTTATCACTTCAGTGATAACTGCTGATTCAAGTATAATGAAAAGTCAAGTAAATTCGAATATTGCATATGAGAAATTGAATGGTGGAACACATTGCAAACCTTTTGCTCGTTTCGAACTTCTTCCCTTTTTCCATCACCGTCCGCCAGTCATCTGCCCACTCTGTCTCGCTCTCCTTGCTGTGAGTGTCTAAGTTGATTCCGATGTTTTTCCGTATCCTGTCTGGGGAACCTCGGTGACTGCCTCGGTGACACAAAGGCTAGGTTCGATGACTCCGGTTTAATTTTTATGCCAGCGAACTGATTGTTGGACAGCAGAGTGCATTTCTCTACGTTTCCCTGAAACAAGCATAAATATGGATTCTAGTTCTCACGGGAACAAGTTATTCTTTCCGTTAGACCGTCCCATTCTAAGGAGCTATTTTAAGCTCCTCGGGCAATTTGGTCCCGAGGAAATGTTTCCTTTCATTCGAGCAAGAATGCACGATTGTGGATAATAATCAGACCTGTTATGATCAGGTTTCAATGGCCGCTCGACAGAAAAATGGGGTTTACCTCTCAATAAGACTTCAAAAATAAGAAATATTAGTCATGGAAGTAAAATGTGAGGTAAAAAAGTTAGCCCCTGGAGTTAAATGCAAATGATATCAAACTTCGAAAAGCGCCGGTTAAATAATTTATTGCACGTCTTTCAAAAACAGGTTATTCCTTCATGCTTTCAATGTTACATTCATCAGAATTGCACGGAGAACTTTGAATATGTGATTTTGAACACATGTATGCAACTGTGACATACAACAAGGAGAGAGGATATGACTATATACTCCTCTGTGTTCGCAGTATACCACTTTTCAATCAAACTCAGGTCGGAGACCAAACGGGAGTATCATAGATTTCCTTGGTGTTGAACGTATAGGAACAAACAAAGGTTCAACTGTTCTCATTATGGCATTGAGAAAACGAGCCGGTGGGCAAATACTTGTTTACGGTTATTCCTAGTCAAGTATTTGCTTTTCAGAAATTTAAAAATTACTTACATATTAACAGTAATTGCCTCAGTTTGATGCCAGTAATCGGAGGCGGGGTTGGGTTGAAGATGTATGTGTGGTCGGAAGAACGTTAAGTATCTCAGTTGATGGGACACATCATGGACATCATGTATGTCTTGGAGTTCACACTAGGGTAAAGCAATTGAAGCGCGTCAACCAGTGGTTTTGGGGCGCACAGGTATGGGCATATTAGACAATTGAGGATCGTCCCGGTCATGGTTAATGTTCCTAATCGGGCAGCCTTAAATCCATTTGGTGGAATTCGATAAAGCTCATAAAAATCTTCCCTCGGTTTGCCTTTATGCCTGATGTCTATAAGACAACCCACTGTAGAGCTTCCGATAGAACCAGTCTTCCCCTTACTTAATCATCACGAGTGGTACTCTTTAATGCGTTCAGACAAACATCTTACCGAACTACCCATGTAACATGAACAACAGGCGCAGTTTCTGTTTCACTTTGCCCCATGAGTTATGTAGAGAACACCGATTACAGTTCGGCTACGGATAAAGTAAAATTAATAACTTTTAGGTGTGTGCATCTTTCCTAAACAGAATACTTATGAATACATCTTTATTAGGGACACTGAAGGAGCTTTCCCTTTTTGAAGGCGAGCTGAATACATTTATCAGTAAAGGTGTATGGGCGACCCTTGTCCTATAGCATTTGGTGGAAGCAGCCTAGTACTTCCTTCATTATCCGGTGAAAAAAATCTTCCGGGATGCGAAGGCTAAGCGTTGGACCACATTACGTTTTTATATCATCGAAACAAAGTATAGCAGTTGGCGTATCGACTGTTCCATGTTTCCTCTATGTGGGTCTGTCCCCTCATTGGTGAATCTACTATTCCATACACAGTTGCATCCAGAAAGGTCAATATGTTGTTCGTAACATGGAGAGGTTGATATAGAAACTGCTACAGTTCCGTTCCCATGAGAAACCATAGACCGCACCCAGGAGACCTTAAATTGAGCTGAAAACAACAGTAGTTTTGCGGAACATTAGAATTAATTATTTCCCAAGTGCATGAAACTGGTGAAATAAGAAACGCTATCAAAAAGCTGATAGTGTTATTGAAAAGCACCTTCCCACATAACGTAACAGGTATTTTTCCGCGACATGAGGTCACTTGAATAAATTGTCTGCAATACTTGTTACTATCCAATGCAGCGATTCGTATAGGAATAATCTGAAGATGTTGTTGTCAAGGACAACCAGATAACTCCTCTTTTCTCGGTCAAAACCACATCAAACTGAATTTCACTTCTATGTTTTGTCGGTCTTATGCCATCCCACACTGGGTCACGGTGCAGTCTTCCTGAAGCCCACATTTTTCTACGGTGCTCTGGCACATTAATAACGTTGGAAATCCACACCCAATAGACGCTTCATGGTGCCGACTTAATTCTATTCTTTTACATACGTTTCTGTATGAAAAGCTTAATACTAATATTTATTGGAATCATTATCAATAATCTTATTTAGGTAGATCCACCGTACCACAATCCTAGCAGTCAGTTAGAGGATACTCGATGGTTTATATTTCTGGATTAGTGAACTGTTGCTTACATGATAGCCCTCTGTAACTATGGTTTTGTCACCTAAGAATTTTCCTTTCAACATTTTTTCCCATTCCTTAAAAGATGGCAGAAAAAATCACCGTGTTTGCGTACAAACAAGGAGTGAACTTATTTGAAACGTGTGAATGTTATGGAGATGGCGCGTAAGTTTTGTGATTTCTAGTCTTGTAAAATGGAAGCAACCTTATGAGATAACACTTTAGTACCACTAGCACGCTTAAAATACGAACAGATAGTCACTGTTTGAGCATGCTGTAGATATTGATCAATGCTTTATATTACTTTATGCATTACTTAGAGAACAAGCGTGAAATACGACTTCCTATCCCCATGCACTGGTAGAACTTCCTGCGATGCTGAAACTTTGGCTTCGAACAAGAACATAAATTCAAATGTTCCAGTAGATAATTGTTGAAGCAGATTGATATAGTAATTTCACGAAATGGTAAAAGTGATTATGTGTAGGGATTTACAATTAGATAATAATTTGTGATAAGGAGACGAAACATATCATATTATCCATAAAATCAGTGATGCAGCATGCAGCATGTCCTAATTGGCCACTAATGGAACGTCTGTTCAGGCTACGGATCCTTTTTCAGCTTTGAAAACGTCTGTCGCCTTGGATTAACAAGCCGCTTTAGAAGACTCCACCTCTTTCCCACCCTCCTCCCAAAACATAAAACGTGTTACTACCATCTTCACATTTCAGAGCTGAGGTGACACTGGGAAAAATATTGAAGAATCAAAATTGGCGGTAAGCTTCTTCTGTGTGAGAAAATATTGCAATTTATTTTTAAATAAAGGCTTCGAACAATGCCCTCGTTTAGTGATTGTAAACGGAGTTAAACTTATGGGTTGCATTTTTTCTGAGGCAAAACCATTTCTGAATAACACAAATGGTATTACAACGGGGTTTACGACTCCTAACTTTAATGTCACTTCGCTCCTGGCATCCAGCTAATGGAAAAATATTTTGCTAACAGAGGACTTCGTTTATTTAAGCCGAATATAGTCAAGGTTTTAGTTTTTTATCTGTGAAAGACATCTGACACTTTACGTATCATTTCGAACTAATAAGAACATATTCTACAGTAAGCTTGTGCATTTTATTTTACCATGTATATCAAAATGTGGACCTAATATGAGGGAAAAAGTTAACATGTAGCCCTTGTACCGGTCATTGTGGGTGTTCGTCCAAGACAATTGGGTATTTCTACCGTAAGTAGTCATTCCCTATATAATTTGAGACGTTTGAACTGTTTATTGTTAGTTGCCGTTTTCATTCCTGAGACTTTTTCTGATGACGGTTCGGAAGTGTCACTTTGAAGGCATACCAACTATGAAAACCAGTCATTATGAAAATATAAGCGCACTTTTCTCGAGTATGATTTTTGGTTTTGTGGTCGTTTATTCCATGATGCATTTTAGTAGGTTTTTTTATTTGTGTTGCTTTTCTGGTTCTGCATTCTTCGCCAACAGAAATTCAGGATTCAAATAAACATATATAAAAATCCAGGGATGTTTGGCAGTAATAACAAAAGATTTGCATACTATTTGGTAGCTAGCTATTTGGTATTTTATCCTTTGGATAGCATGTTTACAATCATTCAACGGCTCACCTCCTGACCCATATTCTCAAAAGAAGCACCACATTTGAGTTTTCCTCCGTCTTAGGCTTAAGAGAAATGAACACCATCGACTCATCTAGCATTCGAACTCCGGGCCACTAAAAAAGTGGAATACATTTATACGAATCTTCGAACTGTGGAAACCAACAAAATTATTGATTTGGGTTCATTTTTATGAGCCTTCTAGTGCCAGTCAAACGGTTTTTCTGTCTGACAAAAGGCGGAGGTTAAAAATAGTCCAGATATTTCTAATATCTGATACAGAGCAAAGCGGGATCTGTTCAGGTCTTGTGCACTGGTGTGGAGAAAAGGAATAAAAGAGCTAAGCCCACATCAATAGCTGTGTCTGTGTCTGTGCAAATTCAATGATTTTAGCATGAGTATGACGTTCAGAACAGTTTAAACCCAGCCTCAACTGATGTGTGTTCTGTTTTGTGTCCTAATCCCCGGTTAAACATTTTATTTTAGGTGAGATATTATTCGTTGTGATGAATTATCTTTGGGACTTCATTCTCGTGCAATTAATTGTAGTTAATCTGGTTCACCAGAATACTTGGATGAATGGCCCGATGACAACCGATTTCAAAAGCATCTTAAGACGTGTCTAAAAGTTACACACGTAGGTTGTATCCGGTTCGTTATGAAGCAAAATCTGTCTAGAGTTTGCGATTTACGATGCAAGTATATAGACCACACATCTCATTAGATTAAGAAGCAAATGTCTCTGGCTGCACAAAATACCCGTGTAACTGTTTTTGATTGGTTGGCAATGCTTATGGCTAACTTCCATTAGCATATAGCATCATCTCAAATTCCAGTCGACCGTGAGTGGTCATAAACTGTCGAAATTTCCTTGGCGGATATCTCTTTAGATCTGTTTCAGACCGGGGAGTGAATATACCAAGATGTAACAAATCTAATCACCCTACCGAGAGCACCCAGCTTGTAGAAGTAGAGACAAAAACGTGTCAAATCGTCCTTAAAATACAACATTAGCATTCTTTTTAACCTCATAGCTCTCTTAATTTATTCGCGATATATGTCTCACCAATATTAGTGCAACAGAAGCTATGTATGCCGGAGGTCTCCTATCTAAGAAAACTGAAATCACCCTCTCACGATACCGCGTCTGATAAAATTCAACCACAGATTTCACACTTCATCATTCCGTTCGCACGAGAGCGATTGTGAAACGTTAGGCAAACCACCGTTAATTAAAGTGTTTTTCACCATGAGAATCAATTTACAACAACTGTTTTCCTCCTCTTTTTTACAAGACGTTCCAGTTACATTATTTCCGTTCGAATATCACGTGGAGGCAAGTAAGTAAATTGAAACCAGAAAGTAAATGTTTTTACATAATATTCACTGAAATTACCTCCGTGCACCGTGCTTATATTCCTCGTATTCTGTAACAATTTTCTGATCGTTTATTTTTCCTTTTATCCTACCAATAAACTAGTTTTGAGTTTCTATTTTACCTCCATTACAGGGCTATCACAGAACAAGGATTATCAAGAAAACATATCATTGAAGGTAATTGCAACCATCCGACCATCATTTCAACGTGACAGCGGATTCCTTAAAGTTCATGGTCAGTTGACTACAGATGCCCAGAGCTAATCGTGAAACATGGCTGCACTCTGACACCAATGTTTAAAAACAACGCAAGAGATTCGTTATCCCAATTAACAATTTGGGTTTTTTTGACAATTGTTTCAGAATGAAGAATAGCTTGATACACACAGTGAAAGATCGAATCTCTTACGCGAACTGCATTCGAGTAGGTGACATAGCATTGTAGTGCCACTGATCTAAAAATAATTCGTTTTCTAACCATTGCACCGGTGTTTACAATTACTTTCACTTTCTAATAAAATTGTTCGTGTCACCTTTGTGAGTTTTAGGTAAAATGGTTAATTAGATAAAAATGCGGTGCAGCTTCTATGCCACTGTACAGTATATGATATCGTTTTGATAGTTCTTTAAATATCTTTCGGGATTTTATATTTTAATGTTATATTTTTTTAAACAAGTATTGATTCTTTCACATAAACAAGTATGTCCACTATAAATAAAAGCCAAATAAGTACCACTGATATTCCGTAGTTTTCCATTTATATTGATTTTTCATTACTAATCCGAGAATGAGTCTTCCCAAATTGGTTTGTTGGAGGTGGCTTCGCATATTAGGACTAAGTTTCATCTATCCTCTTCGTTCATTACAGGCCTTCAAAACGCGCTTGAGAGGCTGCAGCTAGACTATGTGGATATTTTGCTGGTCACTCGAAATCCGGAATTCCCCAACCCAATCGAGGAAGTTGTACGCACTTGCACCTACCTTATTGAAAAGGGGTGGGCTTTCTATTGGGGCACATCAAAGTGGAGTTCAGCAGAAATCATGGTAAATCAAAGCTTTCATTTCACAGCTCCGCGTGATCACAACACGTGATTAGAAAAATTCAAGTTTGGGGGAATAGTTTATTTGATCGATTTGCAATGTGCAGTTACATTATTTACATTTTCGGTTAAGTGTCTTGAATTCCACTAATGTGCACTTGGCAGCAGTGTTGTCATCGATGGGGCAAACGACTATCATGTTGATTCGTTTGGAGCTCAGAATAATCTGTTCGTAGGTTTCGGATACTTTTGGAACATAATAGTTTGCCAGCCAGCATGAAATGAAACCAAAGTTACGATGATTACCGTTATTCAATAGCACATTATTTCAGCAGCTGCGCTATTACTTTGTTTTTTCTTAATTTAGTTTGAAAATAAAAAGATTGATAGATTTATGGTCACCTTTCTTACTACAGAACAACTGACTTCAACTCTTGTTAATCAAAACATATCGAAAAACGTTCACAGTTCTTTGTGACTCCAGCTTTTCGTTCACACAAAGTCTTGGGGTGCACAAAGTTCGGGATTTCATGGTCACAACTTGGTTCTTTTTAAATGGTTGTCATATTTCTTTTAATCGATTATGTCTGTTGTGGACATAATTCGATTTGACGTTTAGTCGATCATCAGAACATCAACTCGTTTAGTTAAGAAAGTGATTTTTGGTTAGTATGGTAACCTTATTTCAAAATGTTGTTGAGAGTTGTTTCTGTATCAATGGGTGGGGTTGAGAATGAACAGAAAATTCGCAGTCAACTCTGTTGAAATCAGGTTCAAAATATTACTTTTTCGTTTATATTCAAGTCCAATTAACCGGAACAAGCGTTGGTTATGCCCAAATATAACAAATTATGTGAATAAAAGTGGGAGACTAAACGAAATATTTCATACAATCCAGTGGTTTATTTCGGTGAATAGAAATTTCTGTAGGTCTTCCCGGTGCTTATCGAAGCGAATAGCTCCCTTCTTTCATCTAAAAAGCGATCTAGTGCTGCTAAGGTACTTATTGATTTTGACCAGATACATGAAGATCCATGGGTAAAAACCTCGGGGAGTTTTTTTCCAGTCCGGCCAAACATACATATTTTAGATCGATTATTTGCAGTCAATCAAGAACTAATTGGGAGAGAGAGAGCGTGAACCGGGAACGCCATGTGGGAATCGCACAATGACAGCGCAGATTATCCAGTGCATTCGCATATGTGTGTGTATGCATGTGTAGCTGAATAAAAGCTCAATCATTTCCGACCATCGATACGGATCCTGAAGGAGAGCAAGTGTGCTGTGTCAATGAAACCCATTGTTTGATTTAAATTCCGTCAAGTCGACTTCACATTAACCCCTTAAATAAGCGATTGATTTTGGGTATTCCTTGAGAGTGATGGAGGAGTCGGCTTGTTTATATGGTGAGTCGAGTCAAAGGAGCAAGTAAAAGGTGAACTGGAAAGCTATGGAGCATTGGAAAACGTGGGTATATTGATGCATGACGCATTTTCACGTTCATTCAAAGACACAGCAAGCCTGAGCGACAACTACCGAATGAGAAAATGTTTGACGTTGCAACAGGCTCGAAGAAGACAAATGGATTGTTTATTATGCAAAATTTCATGATATTTAACCTATATGTTATTTTTTGCTGAGAACTTGAAGAAGCATCATGATCACAGGGTGTGTTGAATTCATCAGCTGTGTCCGTACATTCAGACCAGGTTGTTTCTTGGCGAGAAAACAAACTCGGGGAAGAGAAAACAACTATCACTCACACCAAAGATAAAAACGCCGCATCAGTTCTTGCAAAGAGGTGCCAAGCGTAATCACTGCAAAGGAGCATATTTACATCTACCATGGCCGCGCAAAGCTGACAGCGAATTCGGTTTGCTGACACAGTGTAATGATTTTAGTAGTAGTAGTAGTAGTAGTAGTAGTAGTAGTAGTAGTAGTAGTAGTACACATGGAATTTGGAACACAAAACACGCAATAGGAACCACAGGACACGAACCAAGGATCAGCTATCACGGACTGAATTACGGAAGCACTGAACCGCAATGGCACGAGCTGGTAATATCCCACGTGAACGAGACGAAAGGAAAAGGTCACAAGGATGGTAGTTCTTAGGTCGTTTATTGGAAGAAATGAAGGCGATTAAATCTTATGTGCAAAAGATTATCATTGGTTATCTAGGCTTCCATCAATCGTATTGCAATATTGCAATCTACAGTGTGAACAGATTGATATTCTCGACGCAGCCCCCGATTCGTTATGGTGTGCAGTAAGACTCTCAAAAAATGATAGATGTCTAATCGGTGTTGTGTACCGACCTCCCGCATCTTCAGACTCAGCCAACGAGATTTTATTGCAAACCATGAGGAATGCGTTATCACTAAATTTCACCCATGCCCTCATAATGGGTGACTTTAACTGCCCCAATCTCATAAGATCGAG